AAACGGGAGCTTCATCGGACTTGTCTCAACGCGCGTCGCACAATTGCAGGAGGCCAGAGGGGTTCTGTTAGAGATATTTCCGACATGGCGTTTTCCAATTCTTCTTCTTCTTCACTGAGGAATTTCTTGGACAAGTTCTCTTCCATATTTCAACACCAACCAGTACCTAAACCTCATATCGCGGATCAACCCTTTGGGTGAAGGACGCAGACGAGCCCTCCCTATCTTCAAAATATGCAGTACTGCTATTGCCCCAGCCGCCAGGACCATATGACCTCGGTTCTAAGCAGATGTACAATAAACCGGAGGCAGCATTCCAGGAGAGGTCTGCCTTTTTTCAACAATAGTTCCCTGAAAGGTGGCGATCTCCCCGGCATTTTGACTGTGAATGTCGGGTATAACACTGCTTTCTGCGGTGTTGCGTGCTGTGGAGGTTCTACGAGCTGGGCCAACAGAAGTAATGCCACACTGATATTAATTTAACATCACGGATAACCTTTCGTGATACGTGGATGAGTGCTGTAGTAAAGGGCTACTACACACTGAACAGGCACATGGAGAATAACGAGGACGCTTAAACGTCTCTCACTTCCTCAGTAGTGTGCTGACATCCGAAATGCTGCGTGGGAGAGTGCATCATCTGGGCACATCATCGTTGTTTAAAACCCAACGCGGTCCGTGCTTGGTCGCTGAGGAGAAGGGGGTCATATTTGGCCCAGGGCACTTTTTGATAATAGTTCTCCCTTCCAGACGCGTTGTATTGCTCCTGGTCGGCCGCGTGCATTACTGGAGGACTTCCCTTTCTTTGGTCATTTTATTACACTCTTCCCCCGTCCCGACCCCACCTGTCGCCAGAATTTTGGGAAAATTGGGCAAGGCGGTATGTATCTTGTGAAGGTGGAAGGGGTCCTACTGAAGGAGGAATTTGGGGAGGATGTGCTCTGCAATTATTTTTTTTGGATTCTGGGCATGACAGTTGGCTGTCTCCGCCCATTTCTCTATCCCTCCAGTTGTCGCGCAATGTTTCTTTGATTTGGGGGGGGGGGGGGGGGGGGGGCAAAAAAACATTTCGACCGAGTCACATA